ATATATATATATATATATATATATATATATATATATATATATATATATATATATATATATATATATATATATATATATATATATATATATATATATATATATATATATATATATATATATATATATATATATATATATATATATATATATATATATATATATATATATATATATATATATATATATATATATATATATATATATATATATATATATATATATATATATATATATATATATATATATATATATATATATATATATATATATATATATATATATATATATATATATATATATATATATATATATATATATATATATATATATATATATATATATATATATATATATATATATATATATATATATATATATATATATATATATATATATATATATATATATATATATATATATATATATATATATATATATATATATATATATATATATATATATATATATATATATATTTGGGTATACAAGTTTACTGGATGGTTTGAAGGTGCTGTGTTTTTGATATTGTTAGTTGCTTTTCCCGTAACCTGTTTTTTTTATCAATCACATACATAATATTTAATCATTTGTGTGGTGTTTTGTGGTTTTACAGCATGAGCATCTGTTATGAATGTTTATAGCAGTATGTTTTCCAGTTTGAGTGTCTAAAATGTGAAAATAAGAGCACCAGAGCAGAGTTTGGGGTAAACTTTGTTTTTATATTCACACTTTTATTCTTTCAGCTTTTTTAGGGGTGGGGTTTGGTGCCACGCCTCCTTTTATATACAGATATAGATGTAGCTTATTAATAAATATCCAGTGGGTGTGCAAAAGTGCATGAATGAATGATTCAGAGTAGGTACACAACATCATAAGACATTAATATTAGGTTGGATTTAGGTCATGACATCAGATGACCAAACTTCAGTGTCTTGTCAGCGTCTAAGGACAACGTTATTTTGATGTTCGTTACAACGTTGATATTTGGTTGATTTTAGGTTCTGTTGAAAAGTGACCAAAATCCAACGTCAAGCCAACATCTTAAACTAACGTCATATTGATGTCAAATACTGACATTTATTCATCAGGTATGGTAACCAAAATAGAACATCTGATAGACGTCATAGTCGTAACGTGCACACAATGTTAAGCTGTAACATCAGTAGATGTTGAAGGATTTTAGGTCGTGTTTGTAAGTGACCAAAATTTTACGTCGTGCCAACATCTTAAACCAACATCATATTGACGTCAAATACTGACATTTATTCGTCAGGTATGACAACCAAAATCCAACATCCAATAGACATCAAAGTGGTAACATCCACACAATGTCAAGCTGTAACATCATTAGACGTTGATATTTGGTTGATTTTAGGTTGTATTGGAAAGTGACCAAATCCAATGTCGAGCCAAAAGCATCATATTGACGTCAAATACTGACATTTATTCGTCAGGTATGGCAACCAAAAACCAACGTCTGATAGACGTCATAGTGGTAACATCTAAACCACGTCAAGTTGTAACATCAGTAGACGTTGATATTTGGTTGATTTTAGGTTGTGTTAGTAACTGATCAAAATTTTACGTCGAGCCAACATCTCAAACCAACATCATATTGACGTCAAATACTGACATTTATTCGTCAGGTATGGCAACCAAAATTCAACGTCTGACAGACATTATAGTGGTAACGTCCACACAACGTCAAGCTGTAACATCATTAGATGTTGATATTTGGTTGATTTTAGGTTGTGTTTTTAATTGACCAAAATCCAACATCGAGTCAACATCTTAAACTAACGTCATAATGACCTCAAATACTGACGTTTATTCGTCAGGTATGGCAACCAAAATTAAACGTCTGACAGACATTATAGTGGTAACGTCCACACAATGTCAAGCTGTAACATCATTACACGTTGATATTTGGTTGATTTTAGGTTGTGTTGGAAAGTGACCAAATCCAATGTCGAGCCAAAAGCATCATATTGACGTCAAATACTGACATTTATTCGTCAGGTATGGTAACCAAAAACCAACGTCTGATAGACGTCATAGTGGCAACATCTAAACAACGTCAAGTTGTAACATCAGAAGACGTTGATATTTGGTTGATTTTACGTTGTTAGAAAGTGACCAAAATTTTACGTCGAGCCAACATCTCAAACCAACATCATATTGACGTCAAATACTGACATTTATTCATCAGGTGTGGCAACCAAAAACCAACGTCTGATAGACATCATAGTGGAGTCATCCACACAATGTCAAGCTGTAACATAAGTAGACGTTGATATTTGGTTGATTTTAGGTTGGATGTTGGCATCGATTTTCTTTTTCAAACAAGATGCAACGTTTTTTTTTATTGCTGGAACCAGTAACCTACATACATAACAGTACATAAAACAAAAATTACAGTATCAATCAACAAATGACATTGACAAAAAGTATGGTGTGAAACAATAAAAAATAACACAATAGAAGAAAAGAGAGAAAGAGAACAAAAAACATTAAGATTATTTTGCAAATACAAGGGTTGATTTAGGGTACTTCTACGAAGATCTTAATATCATAGTATATTTTGACAGTTTTTAAAGCTTTCTTTTCAGATGATCCAGAAATCAACTTTATATAATTCTCCATATCCTTAATGAAGACCACAGAGGCACGTTTACTATTTGTGCATTTGCATTTGTGAATGTAAAATTGACTTAAGAAGATATGCAACGTCCTCATGACATTGGGGTACAAAAGCAATCTGATGTCATGTTGACGTCTTGTGCCTGCTGGATATGTCTTTCCATTTTCATCAATAATCAGTGCATGCATTTTAAGGAGGAAATCAGCAATTTGTGTGTTTAGTCGTCTTTATATATTGCAACACACCAGCTTTTACTAAAAATAAAGCCTGTTTTCTTCGTAATTTTCTCAAGCTGAAGAATGTGTGTTCAGATAAACTTGTGTCTTGACGAGCTCAGATTTGTTTTTAAATGATGACATAACTCAGTTTATCATCTCTGCCCTCGTTTAGAACAAAGATTAATATTTGACTGACCCACATTTCGCAGATTAAGTGAAGTGTGTGTGTGTGAAGCACCTGTGTCAGTATGTATGTATGTGTATGTTCATCTGGTGTGTCACTGTGTGTTAATGTATCAGTCATCATGACACCGCATGATTCTATCAGAGTGTGTGTGTGTTCATGTGACCTCAGAGCATATTTCAGTGTAAATATAGTAAACATTTGTTTTATTATGGGGTGTCTGTCCTCAACAGAATCTAAAGAAAGCTGTGTGTGCATGTTGTTATTTTCACACGCAGCATCAACATTAAAACCTTAATACATTATTTCACACTTTAATTATGCCGTTATATTCACAAAGATTGCACAAAATTTGTATGAATGTATATGTGTGCATGTGTGTGTGTCACCGGCCACTTTATTAGGTACACCAGTCCAACTGATTCACGCACATTTCTAACCAGCCAATCACATGGCAGCAACTCAATGCAATTAGTCATGTAGACATGATCAAGACGATCTGCTGCAGTTTAAAGCGGGCATCAGAATGGGGAAGAAAGGGGATTTAAGTGACTTTGAAGTTCCAGTTCTGTGGGCGCAAATGCCTTGTTGATGAGGCCAGAGGTCAGAGGAGAATGGCCAGACTGGTTCCAGCTGATAGAAAGGCAACAGTACCTCAAATAAGCACTCGTTACAACCAAGGTCTGCAGAAGAGCATCTCTGAACACACAAGACGTCCAACCTTGAGGCGGATGGGCTACAGCAGCAGAAGACCACACCGGGTGCCGCTCCTGTCAGCTAAGAACAGGAAACTGAGGCTACAATTCACACAGACTCACCAAAACTGGACAATAGAAGATTGGAGAAACGTTGCCTGCTCTGATATCATGTCAATATGGAGCGAAATCTCCAAGGAATATTTAAAGTACCTTGTTGAATTTCTGCCACAAAGGATTAAGGGAGTTCTGAAGGCAAAAGGGGG